GGGTTTTTCGTGACGATGCAATGTTGAGGCAGATAACGGAGTCTGTACTGATAAATAAGGTTGAAGAGGGCAAGTTAATGAATTCCAAAAGCGGGTGGAATTATGTCAACGTGCCTAGGGCAGTTATGGCAATGTGACAGTTCTAGAGACCTGGTTCAGAGAGGCTACTTTTCGTGTGTTACTACACGACGCGCGCGTTTTTTCAAAAATCTTTCAAAACAAATTTTTAGTTTTTGTTTGTCATCAACTGACGAGGTCGTAGACGAAACTAGTTTTGAAGTTTTCGCAGTAGTGTGTTGAAAGTAGAAGTTAGTTGGAGTGTTTTTTTCACTTACTTGGTTTATATGGCGTTAAGTAATACTTTCTTAGCTACGGTCAGTATAATTTCACAACGACATTAATAAACGATTATTAAAAAACCACACTGCCAGACTTTCGCTTCAGTTACTGGAAAGGACTTCCTACATATTTCTGTTTCGATGGAAAGTTGACCGATTGAAAAACATGGGTCATTCAATCTTGAAAAATTTTCATGAAAACGTCAGGAGCTATCAGAAAATGTTCACGCTAGTATCATCTATATCAAAGTTTCTCCGTTGCTCATGATCACGCGCGATTCCTGACAAATCATGGCTTTCATATCCTAGAAAATATCAGATAGCATTTTCTGTGGTATTCTCTTGAACGAATCGGAAGTTTGAAATTAATATTCAAGAGCGGAGTGTATGACGTAGTGACGTAGTTATTGAATTCTTACTAATGGGGAAGTCCCTTTGCGTTTCTTAGAAAACTCGTCACAATTTCTGGTTTATGAAGGAAAGTTAATGTTTTCGAATCCAACAAAAACAAATGTCCTCTACATATTTATGGCAGGGAGATCTCAAAATTTAGGTTCCTGTTGGGTTTTTCACGAGAATAATGGATTCATTTTGAGGGATGGCGAAATCGAAATTTAATAATATGCCGCGAGGGAAAAGTCCCATCTTAAACACTTAAGGTCTGTATATAAACCGGCATTCTTCCTCAGCAGTTAACACTTAACTATCACTGAAAAGTGCATATCACTAACTTTGATTGTTGGAAATCTTGATTTTATGGGGGAGAAGTCACAACTAGGAAATGAATCCATTCAATCCACTGTTCTACAACCGAGTGTACAGAGTGGATCGAGAGGAAACGAGTGTGAACAGCGAGAGACCCGAATAACCAAAGAAAATTTATACATGGTATTAGCGCTTTGGATGGAAACTTTTCCGGTCAAAGCGGACGAACAGCCAAGTTTGACGGAAAACAACGCCAAGAAAGTCGGTGTAGTTTTCGTATTGCCAACCGATCGTGTCCTTGCCGCTGACTGTAGTCGAGATGGCGTTCACGGAGTCACCCGAGTCATGGTCAACCACTGTGGTAAGCTTGAAGGTTGTAAAGTGTTTGTATCCCGGAAGCCTTGTTCCCTTTGTGCTAAACTCCTCGTACAGTCAAGAGTTTCCCGGTGTGTTCTACCTACCAATTGAACCAGAATCGGAAAACGAAGGAGAAGTAGCGAGAGTGGATAACCTCTTCAAAAATAGTTCCGTCGGTCAATCCGTGTTCATTCCTTACGTTGAACAAAGGGTTTTGGCTAAATTCGAGAACAGGTTACCGGAAGAGATAACTCCAGATGACATCAGTGAGTGTCGTGAAAAGCTCTTGAAAACATGGTGGAGCTCCAAGTGGTCTGCTCGCGCTCAGGAAAGTCTTCCTTGGCCATGCTTTGAGGGTAAGATGAAATCTCAAGTTGAAAATGATTTCATATCCTTGATGAAATGGATCGCCGTTGTCAAGGCGCCTATGGACAAAGGTGTTGCTTTCCGTAAGGTTAAACTTGCATCTGATTCTCGTGTTGTTCCTGTTGACGTTGCTGACGACTTCCCAGAATTTAAAACAGCTTTCCACATGATGGTTTTTGCCAAAATGCTAGCTAGACAGACAGATGACCCCAAGACTGGCGTGGGAGCTGTCATTGTGAAAGGTCGAGTTCCGGAGATAGTTTCTCTGGGTTGGAATGGATTTCCATCCAAGGCATTGTATGGAGAGTTTCCAAGAGCTTCCGATGACGACAATGCACTTCAAAAAAAGTTCCCTTATGTGATCCACGCCGAGCAAAACGCTCTGCTGGTAAGGAACGTCAAGGATTTGACAGACGGAATCCTGTTTTTGACCAAGCCTCCATGTGATGAGTGTGCTCCGATGATCAAGCTTAGTGGCGTAAACACTATTGTAATCGGCGAAAAGATAAAGGAGAGTCAAGGCGGAGAACTGTCATACAAACTAATTAAAGAGTACATTGGAAACGGGATCATAACCTGCTATCAGATGGAGACCACAAAGACACCAGCAAAGCGACTGGCTTCTGATCCAGAAACAAGGAAGAGACTAAAATCGAGCTGATCGATTTCAATAGACAGTTCTGTTAACATTTAATGATACTGACTTCTCTCTGCTTCAGGAAATTCATCTCATCAGTTTTTTTACTGACTCGTACTCAGGAAATATTAACCAGTTCCAATGAAGGATAATAGTTCTTTATATCCCCAACAATTGGAATGATTCCAATTTTGTAAAATCTACTCAGATCCACCTGGGAGATTGACAGAAGCACCACAAGTAATGTTGAGTAACTACACTTTTGTGTGCTATGGTGAAAGTATTTCTGGTGAAAAAATTTTCCTCATTTTATCAATTTCTGTTTTCCATGTCTGCTGTTTCTTCAAATATTTGCTGAATAGAGAAGACAATTGTATAATAAAAGGATCTTTTTTATATCAACTTGAAAGGATAAGTTTTATGAACAAAACTAGCATTCAGTTTAATAAAGCTTTTGTTTAACTGTACACTGAATGAATCAGAGGGACTTCTCTCTAACGAGATTTCATGGCTCTCCATCTTTTTCACGAAGACTGTTTGTCTAAAATCAGTTTCAGTGAAGTAATATCAATTGTAGTATCGCTCTTGAAATGAAAGCAAACTGATATAATTCCAAAACGTTTCCCCCGCATAACATTTGTTTATCTCTATTTCTGGTTTCAGATGTCAACTGGTACTGCTTCTCAGATCCCGATTGTATTTCTGACAGCGAAAAAACTTTCCCCTCAACGGAGCTTGTCCCAAAAAAATAAATGGCATGTGTGACCTGGAATTCCCAAATCCATTCCAGACTTCTAATATTACCCAGCTTGCCATGCGAATAGGGTTGTTTTAACTCCCATAAGATTTTGCGGTCAGCATTATTCTGTTGAAAGCACATGGAATACAGGAGGATGGTTTCAATCGATATTTCTTACGAAGTTCGTTTTCCTCGAGGACCTCAGCTTTGCCTGTTTAGCTGAATTGAACTTCTCAATATTCAGGTATAATTATTTCCTTAAGATTGCATTCGTGGAGGTGACTTCAGAGGTTTTGCTTAGTCGTCGCTTGAAACTTCATTGGACCATGGAAGTCATGAGGTTTTTGTTCTGAGATCGAGTCTTGAAAATTCCACCGTGATGACTAGCATAATCCCAGCTCGCTTTGAGTTTCTTTACGTAACGTTGAAGAAAAAAGCATTCTCAATTTTTTCCCGTCTGAGTGGAGTTATTGTTTTTCAGAGGGTCGAATGTGTTCATGTATCTTTAAGCACTGAACTGCAGTGTTAATTCCACGTACATTCAAGTGTTTTGAGTATGTCGTTCCATTTTTCAATAGATTCCAAGCGTTTGGTACCGATGGCGGTTATCCAAGGGTTCAGAAAATACTGCAGAATCTGGACCTCTTTTGCTGTCCAATAAAACTAAGGTATAATATGCATAGAGGTTAAGTCAAATTATTTCATGAGCATCAAGGAATTACACGTACTTGACACCCGTTGCTGCAGTATATGCGAGTGGTACCGTGGCATCTCGTATAGATGGGTTGCCGCTGACATACTGACAGCGATTCTCTTTCTCCTGTAAACCTGTGGTAGATCGCAATTTGGAATTGTAATGGGCAAGAATTCGGTATAACCCCATACTTGATTATGCATTCAATTCTTGGATAATGGTAAGCAGAGGCAAAACAGATTTCCTTTGGGACTACGGCTTTGTTTTTGATTGGTATGGGGTTATACGGAAATCTTTTCATTGTAATGGCTTACCTGGAAGTGTGTGGACTTCAGTTACTAGATCAGCAACCTCTGTTGTTTCTTTGTCTATTTACATGTAGCTATTAATTTGTCTTTTAGAGGCTGTTTTCTCACTGTGCATAGGGTTCATTTTTCTTATTTAGTTTCACTGCTGATCATTATTCCAGTGTTTTTTCTTTGTTTGAAGTAGTTCAGTGTTCAGAGAAAACCACTGTGATGACTTGAATAATCCCAGCTCGCTTTGAGTTTCACATCAGAAGCGTTGAAGAGAAAAATATTCTCTGTATCACTGTCTGAGTGGTTTTTCTCCTTCACAATTGTACCTGAATTTGATTTTGGTACAGTTTGTTTAAATTACTATTTTTTGAAGCCTGTAAGGAAAAGTAAATCTGTCAATTTAACAAGGAAGGACTCTGATGAAATGCTAGAGTTTGAAAAATCAACTCTAGAAACTCTTAACAGTGGCCAAGTTACATTATCAATTCAGTTGATAAAGTCTGATTTCTTGTAATACCCCCACCGTCATAGCACCAAAGTTTCTTTAGAAGCTTAACCCCTTTATTCACAACTTTTGTCAACTAGTCTCTCTTTGTGTTCCAGCTTTAAATCAATTTTACCTTGGAGGAGTCACTGACCTCATATCAGATTCTCACTTCACTTGGAATAAGACAACCTTCACATTCTGGTAAACCCAGTTCCTTTTATAGTACAAGAACAAGTATTTTGTGCTGTCAATGAAGAACAACATGACAAGCATATGTCTGAATGCTTCTGTTGAAAATTAATAATCAGAGACAGCATCACGTAGATGATAAAAATGATTGTATCAAGTGTCTGTGCTCTTTGTTTGTTGTGAATACAAAGATTGTTGAAGGTTCATATAGTATCCATTTGTGTAATGCCTCATGGCAGAATCCTAGGCTATGTGTTTCTTAATTTTCATCTGAAAAGTTATAAGAACTATTCATGGTACTTTGGCTAAGTGGCTTCTTTTTTCAAAAGTGAAACAGTTCAACTTTTCTCAAGAGTTCCAGTTTCTCCAAAGACAACTGGAACTAGGGCTTTTCCTGTTGCAGATACAAAAATACGCAGAACTGATTGTTAGCTGGAAACATGCCTGTAAAGTGTAGGCATTGTGCAAGGTTCTCCCTAAATTTTGGAGTAGGAGAATAAAATGGAGTAGCTGGTAGAGGAATTTATAACGGTGTGCAAGTGCCTTCCATGCGCCTCTGGCGTGGGGGGGGGGAGAGGGGAAGATATGGGAGGAGGGAAAAGCTAGGAGAAGCGCATTTTTGGCGCATTTCGAGAGATGATCGTGCCACTGATTATAGAACTTTTATTAATAAACCACATATACATTTTTGAGTAATACTGCAAAAACAGCTAGTTTGAAAATAGTGCACATTAAGCAGAGCTTAAGGTGTCTCGTCTTCAAAGTCAAACTTGAAGTCTGCATCAGCATTACATAATTACCTGGAACATCCTTTTTCTTTTTAGTTTTTGACGCTGCCAGCTGCCAACTGCCACATCTCAGCCAGCCCACGCTGCCGCTTTTCCGCCATTTTGCACGTGTATACAGAGTATGTTGTCTTATAAATGTAGATTCCTTTTCGTTGGTAACTGCTGCCTCGCAATCTGAGCCTGTTTCGTTTGCTAGACGTTTGAATGTTCAAGTGACGTCGGCAAGTAGATTCAAGCGATGGTGTGGCGAAATTCTTGATGAAACTTTCAAGTTTATTCAGCCAAAAGCATTTGTGGACACTTGGCTCTTTAAGGAAAACTTAATTTATTTTGGAATATATTTACCCAAGGGGAAGTAGGCATCGCAAATGGAAAAGTTGCCATTGGTTGCAAAACAAAGTATTTATTTTTTTATTATTTGGATCTGAGTAGCTGGCATGCCCAAGATGACTAGCCGGCGAATTTTGCTGGTCACTGGGGCTAATGGAGATCTCTGCATTACGGTGTAAACAAGATGCTTATCTGCGCAAATTTTCTTCTTGCTTAAAAGTGAATTAGTTATGATGTGAATCCAGCTTGGTTTTGCTGGATCTACATTTGACTTGCATATGTAAAACTTTTGTTTTGACTGATTCAGGAAACAGTGAAATTACACCACTTTGGTTATACTTGAAAAAGGTTTCGTAATGAGATTTTGTTCTGTTTGTCCAAGGTTTTGGCCAAGCCTTGTGATGCAGTACAGAGTGGTTTACACTATGCTTGTAAGTGGTTTTCTCGGAGCATGTTAAGTTGTCTTTATTTGGTGTCGTTGTAGTAATCCAAGTATGTTAGTGTTTGTCATGTGATGAGATATTTCACAGACCTGTTCTGATTGCTTGTGAGGATTGTGAATGTCTGCTGATGATAAACTTCCTGTATCATGTAACTTTCCAATTTTAACTTTATTTCAATTAAATGGTTTGAAAAGGAGGGAAATCGAAGTAACAAATCTACTGTCAATTCTCAGTTTGCATCTGACTGCCAGAGAAGGTGATCACATGTAGTTTTCTACACCAACCTTAGAGTCCAAGGAAAAGCAAAACTAGTGTGATCTCAGATTACTCTTGACATTTATTTAGGAATTGCTCTAATTAAGCATGTACATGACATTCTCAGGTCTCATGAGAAATGAAGAGAGTCTTTGCATTGTCTCAGCTTTCTCCGTCAAATTTATTTTATTACTCATCCACTTCCCTCTATGGTACTGCAGATCTGAAAATGGTGAGGGTGACTGAGAAAACATTGCAGTTCGAGAGGAAAGTCAGAAAATAAGGTTGTTTTGAAAGGTATGTTGAATAAGTTAATGCTGACAAAAGTAAAATATTTCATTTAACCCATCGTATAAAATGGATTATGCAACCCATTTTACCTAAAGTAGATTTAATCTGTATCTTGATTTGCCAACATTTGCCATTCACCAGCTATTTTTTGAGGATTTCTTCATTGTTGATAAAAGGCTCAAAATAACACAGAATGTTGTAACATTAATCCAATTTTCTTTTCAAGTGGAGAAATATTTTAAGGACATTTCAAGCTTGTGCTAGCCTTATAGATTGACAATCATTGAACTTCTCTGTAGTGAATCTTGTTTCTATTAATGTACATGTACTTTACAGTAATAAAGTTGTGATGGGCAGTGAAGAGATGATGTCTCGTTCGTATGAACATCTGATTAAAAGTAACCTCGCAGAGCTCTCACAAAATTAGCTTTTTTTGTCAAATTGTAGAGTCTGGAAATGGAAAAATTAAGCAGGGTATGTTTTTTCTTTCTCAGTGACAATGAACAAAAGATTTTATCAGGTTTGAATATGTCTTATGTCATGTACACAATAGTTAAGATTACATAATGAATTGATTATTTGAATATTGAACCCACTAGTAATTTCAAGACTGCAATAATGGATGTATTATTTGAATATTGAACTAGGTAGCTGTAAGGATGTTCATTTATGTATGTTGATTTAATTTATACAGTTTACCTTACATCTGAGTTCCCGGATGTATTCATCCGCTTCGCTTGATTTGCACTCAGCTTACAAGATTAAATGTTGTGGTTAGAGTCTCTGGTGTTTCACTGTCTGTCTTAGCGATCACGTTACAATAGCTGTATTCATTTTGAAAAGGCGCTGATCATAGTTCAAATCAGAAATTGACTTGTGATTTGAACAAGGATTTGTGCTATTCTCTTTTTGCTTTTATTGTTGCTGCTATGTTGTTTTGTATCTTACCAAATTAATTGTGTAAGATTCCTTTACTGATTAAGTTGTTATTGTTGACAATTCTTTGGTTTAGTGGAAAATAACTGCTCTAGGCTTTTTTTGTTTTACTGCTTTTTCTGATTCAAATGTGTTAAAAGAATATAACAAATATTTGGGGCTACCCTTTCTTCATGTATTTATTCCTTTTTTATCTTACAGTGGGAACATGAAGGACATGCCAAACACACTACTATGGAGGCAGAAGGAAATCAAGTCTCAGTCTTCGGATATTTTCTTTTGCAATCCTCACTTGAACTTAGATATTATTCACTCCTAGTGTTCAGTCTGAATTTAAAATAAAATGATGTGAGGTTGAAAATCATTTTGTATGAGTTACTACTTGTAGTAAAATTTATTAATCCCAAAAAAGTGGTTGTTTGGTCTTATATCTTGACAACAGGCAATTAACAACCTTGAACCACATTAGTAACAATTTCTTTGCCTGTTTTGCAAGTACTCAAGAGTTATTAATAGCCAGATACTGTAGTGCAATTGGATAGAAGAGCATTCTCAGTATTAATGGCCCTGTGTATTTCTAAATTGATATATATATATATATATAACTAACTGCAGACAGTACTGTTTCGGCCTTCTGGGCCTCATATATATATTCTAACTTCAGTACATGGAAGATTATCTGGTTTGAAGCAACATAAGCTTCCTTTTGCTTGAGACAAAGTCTTAATGCCATCTTTTATGTTATGTCTTTTGAAGGTGGAATGCAAAGTAGTGACTGGTGACTTGTCTTCCTCAGTCTCCACTCCAAAGAAAGCAGATTGAAGGGAAGATTACTTGTAGCCCCTTAGGTTAAAGAATTTATCCCTTAGTATTCCCTCTGAACATTTTCTCAATCAATTTTTTTCTGTCTTGGTTGTCTCATCTTGCCTGAAGGCACATCAGTCACGTGCATGATGGCTTCGGAAATTCTTGACCTGATTTGCAATTCATTTGGGAGGTATCTGTGTAAGGAGAATCATCTTTTCAAGTATTTGTAAAATTGAATGAGTTGTTTCTTTTGAAGGCTTGAAATTGATGTGGATGGGTGAACATTCCTCTTCCATTCCTTCCTATCCCTAGCCCTTTTTTTTAGTTTCTTATGCCGGCAAGTAATTCATGGCAGTCTCCATATAGACTCCCTGTTACCCAGTCTCCATATAGACTCCCTGTTACCCATTCTCCCTGTGTACCCTGTGTATATCATGTATATCCATGGGATATACACCCTGTGTATATCCCATGTATATCATGTATATCCTTGTACACCTCGTATACCCTGTCTACCTTGTGTACTCTGTGCACCCTGTATATTCATGTATACCAAAGTGTACGTTGTATGCCATATACACAGGGTACACAGGCTACACAGGGTACACATGGGTACACACGGGTACACAGGGGACACACTGGTACACAGGGTAAACACGGGTACACAGGGTACAGACGGGTACAACGGGTACACAGAGTACACAGGGTACATAGGGTACACAGGGTATACAAGGGTACACAGGGTACACAAGGTACACACGGGTACACAGGATACACAGGGTACACACGGGTACACAGGGTACACACGGGTACACAGGGTACACAGGGTACACAGGGTACACA